CCCTCTTGGTGTTAGAGAACTTTCAGGGCTCTGGGTTTGATCCCCAGCACTCATGCACACACAGTCCATCAACAGATCATCAAGAAAGTGAAAAAAGTGAAAATAGCTTCTAATGTATGAAGCATGAATAATGAGTGGTGTCATTGCATGAGGAAAACACTTTGATCACTTTAAGCACTGCTTCATTAAGCTCGTGTGGCAGAGATTCATGCAGAATCCCTCTCCATCCCCCTTAGGGAAATTAATGGAAAGCCCAAGGGAGTTCAAAATCATTTCATCTCTGACTTCTGAGATTGCCATCTCTGCTTATTCATCCTCTCCCTGATTTCACTGAACCTCATGCCTTTCAACATCATTTGATGATATGGAATCTGCAGTCACCAAAATAACTCCTCTGTCAGATATTATGAGCAACCTTAAATCCCAGAGTATGAATCTCCAAATTCACATGGTAGTTTCTTTTTGAACTCATGCCACAGCCTAATTGCATAACCAGGAAGCTCCAGGGCGGCTTCCAGGGGACATCTGTGGGTTTCTCTTTCTGTGTTTTAGGAGCTCCAAGTAGTTATCTGTATTCAACCAATAAAATAGTACAAATAGTAACGTGTGAAAGACATCATAAGAAATTACAGGCCCAAAGCAGTAATTAGTGTAGATAATTTAGGCCAATGATCTTGATAGTAAATCAAACTTATGATTCCACTGAACTGTCAACAGAAAAAGGGACAGTCTCTCTCTCTTTGCTGGTCTATCACACATCCTGTCCATCCTATCTTACTTTTCTATCTCTATCACTCTATCTATATCTTTATCCATCTATTTATTTGTGTCATGGAAGAAATCTATTTTTTTTTCTTTTTTGGTACCGGGGATTGAACTCGGGTCCTTCCTTGTGCTTGCAAGGCAGGCCACCGAACACTGAGCTAAATCCCTGGCCCAGAAATCTATATTTTGACAACATCACCTTGTCTCTATTGCCATCTAGCCTAACTGTACTTCACATTATGCTACACATTGCATTCTATAAAAATAATTCCCCTGGAAGATAAGGTGATATTCCATACAATCACTCTTCTCAGTTTAAATGTTCTCCCTAGATTCAAAGAGAATAAAACCTTTTATTTTGAGTAACTTGGTTTCTGAGCTTTCCCCAAGATGAGTAAACATTTCTAACAAATTTTAGCTTGATTTTCTTTTTCTTTTTGGTACAGGGGATCGAACTTGGGACCCTGCACTTGTGAGGCAGGCGGTGGAACCGCTCAGCTTAATCTCCAGTCCCCTGATATTTTATTTTTTAAAAATGCATCTTCTTTATCCAGTCTCCAGCTGGCAGGCAATTGGGCTGTTTGCAAGCTTTAGTCGTCACAAACTGTGCTGCTATGAACATGGGTGCACATATATCACTGTGGTATGATTCTTTTAATTCTTTGGGGAAGATACTCAGCAGGGGGCTACCTGGGTCAAACGGGACCTCTGATCCTAGTTTTTTATGGTATCTATTGTATGCCTAAAATGTACCAATACACTTAATGAAAACAAAATTTAACTTGATAAATAAACAATGTCTTGCAACCTGAGTAATATGCGTTTCCTAGCATCACATGACCATGATTGATCGGATGATTCTTCTCTCTGTCTCTCCTGCTGCAGGACTATGGGGGATCATCTCCCAAAGGCAAGAGGTTATGGAGAAGATCTCCACTGAGGAGAAGGAGAAAAAGGCAGAGGAATCCCTCACATCAGCTGAGATCACGAAAATGTGAAAAACATGCAAAACAGTGCAAAATTTTGTAGAAAATCACCTGGGTAAGGCTTTAGCCATGCAAGAGATGAATCTGTTTAATGACAATGCAATATTGTATTTCAGTAAAATACTCCAAAGGAGGCAAAAGCAAGTATCACTGGATAGTTTCTTTGTTGAAGTTGCAGGGGAAAATTTCCATATAACAATGATTCCCTTAGTGATACCGAAAGTCGTCCTACATGATAATCCATCTCTCTTGTCTCCCTCGAACCAGCCAGGAAGCTTTCCAAAGTTAAATGAAGGTCAATTTGTTTATTTTTCCTTATATTTTGTATTTTCTTTAACATTTTGTATTATATTACAGCATTGTCCTCATTTTTATAGAAGTATTTTTAGGTTCTGGAACAAATCATCTGAGTTTTCATTATTTCTTATTGGGAAATTTGCTTTGATACACAAGTAGGTTTCTGGAATGAGTTATGCTCACAAACCATGATTTTGCTCTATAACTTTATCCTCCTTATAAATACATGTATGATACAGGGCAGCAAACTTGCTACAATCAGGCAGCCCTTACAGGAATACTATGAGAGGCAGTGTTATGTTATTTGTCCTTGGCTGTTTAGGGAGCTGTCCTCATTGTACTTAATTTTGGAAAGAACTTCTTGTCTCCTTTCTGTCTCTTGGTCTTGCCTTCGCATGGTTTTCTTTATCTATTTCCTGGGACCAGGTATAAAATATAGGCTGAAATTTAAGCCATTATTGAAGAATGGGTAGCATTTGAAAATTGTTTTCCACTCAGAGAAAGGTAATGGCTCAAAATTGTTCCAATTCTATAATTGTCAAAGTCAATGTAATAATGATTGTTTGGCCACATAATTCCATAAAAATACATAATTATCTTTAATGATCTTTACCTGTTTTTTTCAAAGGCATTTTCCTACTTTGCTTCTACATTTCAAAGCTTTTTATAGTTCTACTTCTAGAGTTTTTAGTACACAGGCGTTACTAACTTCCTCCTTCAAGTAAAAAAGATTCTGGACTTTTATTTTCTTTCATTATACTTGTGATCTTCCCAGATTTCTTTTGAGCTTGATTCCTCTTTTTCAAACTTTGGAGAATTTGGCGAATGTCAGAAGAAATAGACAATATTCATTTTCTACTTCTGTTGTAACAGAGTGCCACAAACAGAGTCTAAAAAAGTGTATATTTATTATTTTTCCAGTTTCTACTCCAGGATTCTGAAGTGGACCTCACTGGGTTGAAACTCAGTTGCTGGCAGGACCATATTCCTTTCTGAATATGTTCTAAAGAGAATCTGTTCATCCCCTCACCTGTAATTCGTAGACGTTACTCACAGTGTCTCATCCCCTTTCATGCAATGTCGAGTCAGATGTTCACAGTGCACTTGCTGTGATCATCTTCCTATTCCTCCCTCCTTAAGTCCTAAGGTTCCTTTTGGTTCTGCTGAGTGTGTCTGGATATTCAGTGTCCTCTCTTAACTTCCTCTGAACTTTTAATTCTCCTTTGCTCTATAAAGTAACATGCTCACAGATCCCAATGATTAAGGCATGAGGGGGACCAGTATTATACCTATATTAATAAAGAAATACTTTATTTCCATCATTTCCTCTAGAGCTATTAGTCCTGAAAGCTCAATATTTGCTTTTCAATTTATCACAGGCAAAGGTCATGAATAATAGGAAATTATCAAATTTGGAAAAGTCCCATTTTAGGGTATTTCTGATGGCAACAAAATCATTTAGTTTTCTTGAATCTGAGAAAGTATTGATTTCCTCTTCATACCTTAAATACAATTTTTGATAGGTATAGAATTCCTGATTAGTTTCAGGCTTAAAAAATGTTTTAGTTTTTAATGAGAAATCTGCTTTTATCTCCACATTTCCCTTTATTTTAAACATGTCATTCTCTCTTGATGGGTTCAAGATTTTTTGAAATATTTTCATTTTTTAGAAATTAGATTCTAGTATTTACTCAACCGTTTGTACGTCCAGGTTTACATCTGATAAACTGGAAAATTATCCATTTTTGTGACTTCCACCATATTTTCTGTTCTTCACCAAAATATTTCATATATTTTGCCCTCTTCTAGAACTTCAACAATAGAAACGTCAGAGGTTTTGTTCCTGAGCTTCTTTTCCTTTTGAAATTTTAGTTTATCTTCTTTCTGTGACTCAGTTTGGATGATTTTTCTCTCCTTCATTCTTCTGCCTTCTACATTCTCCTGTTGAGTGTTTTGTTTTATTTCATTTTTTAAATTGCATTTTCAAATTTTACCATTTCCATTATAGTTTCCTTGTATCTTCTAATTTTTACTGATGGTCTCTATTTCTTTGTCGATTTATTCTTTCAACTTTTGAGCATTCGGTGTGAATGTTGATATGGTAGTCATTCTAAACTTTGTCCTAGGAATGTAACTCAGTGGTGGAGTCCATGCTAAAAGGCCCTGGGCTCAGTCATTATACCACAAAATAAAAAGTAAAACAGTCTTGGTCAGGTCAATCTACCACTGGTCATCTTGACAGTAGACTGTGTTCACTGGATTTTCTCTTTCAAATTGAAATTCTTCTTTTTCTTGGTCGTACTGGTCTCTTTCCTTTATTTCTGACAAAATATCTGACATCCACAACTTAGAGGAGGAGAGGATTATCTTGGCTCATGGTGTTCAGAGAATTCAGTCCATGGTTGGCTGCTCCAAGGCAGAAATTGCATGTTGGAAGAGCCTGCTGGGAGAAAACTGCTCACCTCATGGTGGCCAGGAAGCAGAAGCAGGAGCTTCAGAAGGAGATAAGCCTTCCAAAGTCACAATCTACTAATGGATATGGTTCTACCAGGTCCCGCCCCCTTGCCAAGGCCCACCCCTGAACATGTGAGACTATGGAAGGACATTTTAGTTCTAAATTATAATGTCCTAGTGGGATGATTGATTTCGGCTATAAACCTTGCTGTTTTACATTTTAGAGTAGGATCTTCACAAACTTACCTAAAATTTAGGCTTTATTGTTTCTTCCTCATGTATTCACTTGAATCACTCAATAGCATTACCTTCTTGTCAGGCATTGACACCCTAGCAGGAAAGGTCACAGCTACTGGTGAAGTGAGCAGGACCATCAGCTGTCTAATAAGCACCTACTACGCATGCTGGGGGGAGGAACAGGAGTGCCGGTTTATGTCCTTTGGAGGTCTACATTGACAGGAGAGGGTTTGTTCCCGTTACCAATGGCCTCTGTAAAAAGTCTTCATTCTGCTTAGACCTTCACTTGTCTCTCCACCTGGAAGATGAAGAAATATCACATCACCACTCAGTGGAAATGGAGTCAAGAGGACCCATGCATTCTCCATGAACACGTCGAGGAGAGGGGTTATTCTTAACTACTTAGCAAGAAGGACATTTTCAATGTTCTATTTAGTCTGTATGCAGTATGACAAAAGCTAATTAGATGTTTAAATGAAAATTTAAAAAAACATACCATAAGAGGCAGGATGCCACTAATCCTCTCAAAAATCCTTCCCCTCACCTCAGACACGCTCATCCCATCGTCCTCGCCACTTTCTGCAGCAGCTCTGGAGTCCTCTTTCCTGAGGGTCTTTCTAAGGTGTGATAAAAACATACAGTGAATGCGGCTGCCAAGCGCCATCCAAGAGAAAGTCAAACTCATAAAAACACGACGCTGTGTCCTTATTCACCTTACTCACCGGATCTGGCACAGTGTGACTTCTGGCTTTTCCCCAAAGTGGAACTTTCCATGAAGGGGAAAGGTTTCAAACTGATTTAGGACTTGGAGGCAGCTAAAGACTCTGAGGAAAGAGGACTCCAGAGCTGCTGCAGACAGTACTGGGATGAGTGTGCTTGAATGGAAGGGGGAATATTTTGAAGAAGATTAATGACATCCTGTCTTTTACTGTAATACATTTTAAAATTTAAAAATCCGCTGTAGTTTTTTATTTAAAAAATCACATTTAGTATGCTACACCATAAAGTAAGTTTCAATAAATTCAAAATGTCAGAAATCTTAAAGTTCATAGAAGGATTGAATTCACTCTCTGAATTAATCTATTGAAACCTATTTTTGAACATTGGGGTTTACTTGGGTATATCAAGCTATTGCAACTATCCCTGTTATTCTGAATTCAATTATGGTCTTCCTGCTTTGACCTTTAACAAGCTTCTGTAGATGTACAAAAACATGAAACCATTAATAAGTTATTAGCCTAGGCTGCATCTGCCAGTGAGAAATGTCATTTTGTTACAACGCACAACCCTCTTACCTTGCCTTGAGTGGCTTCAGAGGCTATTTTATACTCTCCTCTGCTTCTGTGTTAACTTCGTTGAGGGCCACTTCTGCAGAACAGCCACTGGCCAGTGCCCCTATATACACTGCTCTCCAGATTCTCACAGAGGAGGATCAGGGTAATTGCTGTCCTGGCTGTGGACCTCTTTCCATCCTAGCCCACACAGACTCATATGTGCCTTTCTCTCTGCTGTTTTTTTCTTTTGTCATAAATAGAGATTTTGATGATTCTTTGAATCCCAAGTAGTAGACATGTACTGTATATTGTCCTTCTTATGTGCAAAACCAAACTATCCTAAGTTAACTTCTTTTTTTCCCTCAGTAACTCATCTCAGGGTCACATCTACTGAGAACTTTTTCCTGACAGCCTCTTGCATATTTCCAAAGTTCTCTTATTTTGAAAATGGCCTGTTGTTTTGCACTTGTTGTTACTTGTGTCCTTTTAAACAATAAAGAGTTTTTAGAATATTTATGATTTACAGACTAATTATGGAAATTCATTGTTTCTATACACTGATATTCAATTTCTCCTATTATTAAACATCATATTATGATGGTTATAGTTAATTAACCAATGTCTCTCCATTACTATTCCCTAAAGTTTATACTTCAGTGAAATATCCATATTTCTCTCAAATCCTCTTACTTTCTTTCTCTTGTTCCATCTCTCTCAGTCTCCCTGTGAGTGTTTTCTGACTCTTTCTTGTCTCTCAATTTAGATACCACATTGTGTTGCTGAGACAAAATATCCGACACTCAAAGTTAAAAGGCAAGGAGTTTGGCTTGCAGTTTGCAGAGGTTTCAGTCCATAATCAGCCAGCTCCAAGGCAGGGCAGAGCAGGAACAACATGGCAACCACAAGGTAGCAAAGGCAACAAGGGAATTTAACAAGCTTAACAGCATCTGTCTGCCCCTTTTATCCCATTCAGACTCTTAGATTAGGGCAGTGCCTGCCAATCATTCACACGTAGTGGTTTAGTATTCACTGCCCTTAACCCCAGCACCACACGTTCCAGATTCACCTACCTCTGAAAAAGAAAGTCCCACCTCATCTGCATGAGGCTTGGGGGGGGGCATCTAAACACGAGCTGTAATACATGCCCAAATGTTTACTGTCTCATTAGAACTCTAGTTTAGGGTTTTCAGCTATGGAGGCCAGGAGTTTGGGATCTCCTGAAATTAAAATGTATTTTTATCTTTATACAGATAATTTTAACTACAGTTTTTAAAATTCATGTCATCTTTTATTGTCTTAGCTCTTTGAGATGTTAAATTGAGCTGCTACTATGCTCAGAAGAACACACATGGACCTAATTTATTAAATGGATCAAACATAATTTGTTATGAATCCAGGTTTTGCTATTTTCCCTTTTCTGCTATTGTGGTGTCCATCACAGAATCATTTTAACTCAAAGTTTCCCCGATGTATAATGAATAAATATCATAACAAGATATAGTGAATATTACTTTTCAATCTGGGATGCGTGCAACAAATGGGGGTGATGTTAGCATTACACAGCACATGCCTGCTTCTGCGTGTTATGATAGTGCTTTCTTCTGCAAGTCTTAGTTGGCAGAAGTGTGCATGTGTGTGTGTGTGGGTGTGGGTGTGTGGATGTGTATTATAGAAAAGTATGATCTACAACAAAGAATCTGGTACCTACTGACTTTGTGAACTGGGGTCTATTAGATGACTTTCCTATTGCTAGGATAAAACACCTCACCCTCACATCTTGACTGCAGAGAGACTTGTTTTGTCTCACAGTTTTCGAGGGTTCCACCCACAATCGGCCAGTTCCAAGGTGGCAGCATCATGGAAGAAGGGAACGGAGTTACACACTTAATGCAAGCAGCCAGCAAAGAGCGCCAGAGCCAAAGGGGCTCCAGGGACACATCCTCCAGCACCCCCTGGTACACCACAGACTTCTCACAGGTATCACTTCCACCTGAACTCCTCTCCCGACTCTGCGTTCCCGTGAACATCCGTGGGTAAACTCACCGGTGACTGCAGCAACCTCACGATCCTGATGATGCCACTTCTTCAGGAACCACTTAACCCTGTCCGAGGGGCCATAGAGGTTAATAGGTGCGTGACATAAATTCTGCATGAAGATAACATTTTCTTTCCTCAGTCCAGGATAATACCACCTAAATCAAAATGGAAATAACGGGCACCGTGGAATTTATTTGACCAGGTAAGGACCTCTATATCTGCATGTTGATTTTTAAACATGCACGGTTTAATATTATGTTATCAACATACTGTCCCAACACATTTTTATTTAATTTCATGTCAAGGAAGCATTTCACATATTAAAAAGACATGGAAAAAGTAGCACGAGAGCCTATATACTCATCACCTACTTGAAAGTATAAAATGTTTACAATATGCTAGCATTTTTTATCTACCACATTTAGTTTTTCTTAGAAGAACTTTATGATAAAATTTAAGTAATTTTCCAATGTTTTCCACCAAATAATATCTAATTTCCCATTTCCACCAAATAATGTCTGATATCACATAGGGTGAGGGGATACTTTACTGGACAGCATGGACTCAGATTGTTTTGAATTTTTCTGATATCAGACAGTAATTTTGCACAACTTCTATCTAACTTTGATGTTCTCACTGAAGTATATTATCAAGGCTGAGTACAGCTGGGCCACAGGTCAAGTGTAATATAATTGGAACAATATTTTCTAAAGTTATTGTAACAAATTATTACTCCTCTTGGCAGAGTATGAGAATTCCTATTTTCATGGATATTGTCGTACCATGAAACACCAATATTATGAGCACTGAAACATACCACATTTTGCTTTTAATCTTGATTTACCTCTTCATAAAGACAGGGTGAGCACCTTCCCGTGTTATTTTATCATGTTATTTATTGGCCACATGGAGTCCAAGTTCTCTTCAACAACTGCTCATAGAATTTTTCCATTTATTTATTGCCCGCCCCAATTAAATGTAAAGAAAACTTCAGATGGGTGTTAATACTCCTGTTGTGAGCAAGAAGAATCGGATGTAGAGGGAACGCGAAAATTATACTATCATAATGATGGATTATTTTTATTTTTCTCTATCTTATAGTCGTCTCTTTTCTTTGGACTTTGGAAATTTGATGTCATGTTTTTTTCTTGTTGAGTTTCTTGGTACTTTTTAGGGTATACAGTACAGTTGCATTCATCACTGGGAATGATCTCATTTTTTTACTGGAGAGCTTAGGAAAGAATTAACTACCGGGCTCCTGGTTACCGGATGTGTGCTTACCTGTGCTGGGAAACAGTGGTTGCTTCATCTGAGTTATTATGTTTTGTTTTCGAGGCAGGGTCTTGCTATGTATTTCAAATTGGCCTCACAATTTGGCCAAGGCTGGCCTGGTCTGTGGAGATCCTCTCGCCTCAGCCTTCAGCATGCTGGGATTACAGGTGTGCACCACCACACCCACCTTGAGCGGCTGCTTCTTCTCTGTCAAGTGCTCGTGGCACAGTGGGTCAGGGAAGCTTACCTGCGTTAAGGCAGAAGAGCTGGAGAAGCGCTCTGATCCTCCCAGGGTGGCTGCTCCTTCCACCTAAGGATTCTTTAGATTCAGAATCGCTCCCTTAACAACAGAGCCTCCAGCTCCTCGCATTTCATCTTCCCTCCTAGATAATTCCAAGCACGCGGACCCTAGGTTTTGGTCCAGGGTCTAATGGATTGTGACGATAAGGAATTAACATGACTCACACTCTCCATTGTAGAATGGGCTCTGGATAAAACCCGAATGTGGTGAATACAGAGTTTTATCGGTGCCTCTAAGTACCACCGTCTATAACCGCGTTAAGGTAAACCAGCACTCATGATCACTTCTTTTTGTCTTGTCTATTCTCTGTTTTGATTGTCTGTGTAAGTTGGTGATACATAATAGTTACATTCGTCTTAGGGAATTCATCTTACATATACACACTGGATCTTGGTTCTTTCCACTCCCTTATTTCTCCCCAACTCCTCTCTCTCCTCTCCCCAGATCTCCATCCCATCTCCACGAAGTATACATCCCTGTTTCCTATCAACCCTCTGTCATCTGCTCTTCCAATATTATTTGGAGTTTTTCATCTGGAGAAAGCATGGGATATTCATTCTGTGTCTGGTGTTTCTCACTTAGTATGATGGTCTCAATATACGTCCACTTCCCTGCATGTATCCTTTCTGTGGCTGACTGGTACTCCATTGTGTATTATACCACATTTTCCTCATCCATAGTCTGTTGAAGGATTAGAAGAAAAAAAAGGTTATGAATGCTGGTGTAGCTTAATGTAGTTACCGATGGTAATACTGAGAGGTATTATCAAGGTGTCTATACACATATTCAAAAACAACTGGTATTTATGTTTTTCACTCTATGTCATAAAGATGAATGAGATATGCTGTGTTTCTAAGTTCTTTTCGTCTTGCAACTCAAAAGAAGTCCCATGCACTTTTTATAAGTAGAATATGATTTTTATTGTTGCTGTGATTACTTAATATTTGAATACGTACCTTGGCATTTTGATGTTTTCATTTGCCTTGGTCAAATTGCTATGGATTCTGTAGCTTCTATTGCCAGCTTAAAATACTTAGTGAGCGCTTGCTTGTATCTTTTAAAGTCAGGAATTCATGAATTTATTCAGTGATTCTTTATTGATTATTCATTATTCAATGCTTCATCCTGACATGAAAATCAAACAATGACCAAATAGACAGAGTCTTTGCCACATAAGAGTTTTATATTATTCTAGTCAACAAAGTAGATACTAACAAAGAAGTAAATAAAGATACAACTGAATTTTAAGTAGTGAGTATAATAAAGAATGAATAAGTAAATCAGGTGATGGATTTAAAATTGATGAGGTTTTCTCCCTTATTTTGGGAAAATTATCTTAGAATGTTTCTGGCAATAATGAAACATCCTAGTTTTCTTCTTTAAATAAAAATAAAGTACCAAATACTTTCCCACAAATATATTTTAGCTCTATCATTACTCAATATGAGGACTTTAAAATGTTCCTTTTATCTTTCTTCTTATTTTTCTCTCAGTAGCAACAGTTATGCAAATTTTTTCTTAATCTGTAATTACTATTTCCTTTCCAACATCCTATCTGTCTAATCATATGGCTATAATTTATATTGCTTTTTTTTTTTTTTTTTTTGCAGGGGATGGATCTCAGGTCCTTGCTCTTGCAAGGCAGGCCACCGAACTGCTGAGCTAAATCCCCGGCCATTGGATATGACATTTCCTGTCAGTCCTTTTCTTTTGATGTCATTCTATCCCCTTTAGCTTCTGATGTTGCAAAAGAAATTTCCCACAATGAATACAACTCTCATCGTTAGTTTTTTAAGACCATGGTTCTCGTCTTTTTTTCACGGTACTGGGGATTGAACCCAGGGCCTTCACACTGAGCTACCCTAGTCCTTTGGTTTTTCTTTTATTTTTGAAAGAAGGGTTCAATAAGTTTCTGATCTTCCTAGCGTGGCCTGGTGCTTGCATCCTCTTGCCTCGGCCTCTGAGTGCGGGAAAAGCAAACATGCCCACTCGGTCGGCTGCCCACTCCCTCTCGAATTTATAGAACTCTCATTTTCCTGGATGTCCTTTTATTGGACAGCAAGGCTCTCCAGTGTGCATCACCTCTCTGTGTTTGTGTGGATCCAGGACCTTCGGCATAATCTCTTGAGCATCTGCAGTTCTACACAGGAACAAGGCAAAGACAGGCACTCTGCTGGGAATTAGGCAGCACCAGAGCTGCTACCTTAGGCGGAAGGTTTGGAAACTTTGGGTTTCATGGAGATCTCATACAAGAGCTGATCAACAAATGAGTGTTCAGATAAGAATATTATAGTAAAAGACACAGTTCCGTGAGTTCCTCTCAAAATTCTTTCCCTCACTTTGTGCCCACTCAGCCCATCACGCTTGTCACTTCTGCAGCAGCTCTGGAGCTTTTTTTGTGTCTTTTTGAAGCGTGATCAAAAGCATAGTGACAGCAAGGGAGGGAGGGATGTGGGACAACTGAAACATCAACCAGGATTAAGGGAGGAGGGGGAACACCTAGGCTTCTTAGTTCCTCATGAGGTCTGTCTTAGTCACTTCTCATTGCTGAGACGAAGGGCCCAGCGCCCACAGCTAAGAGCAGAAAAGGTCAGCTCTGGTTCACAGTTTCAATCCATGGCTGGCTGACTCTAAAGCAGAAACAGGGTATCAGAGGGAAAAGTGTTCAATCCATGGTACCCAGGAAGCACAGTGAGGAAGGAACTGGGGACAAGAATGCACCCCTATGACCTCGCCCCACCAGGCCTCTCCTCCTACAGCACAGTGAGCCCCAAACTCACCCACGATAAATATGCTGCTGAATACAGAACCCCAAGATCCAGTCATCTTCACACACATGAGAATTTCGGGGATAATTTATATCTAAACTGTCACAAGGTGTAAACCATGTCCTATAACTTTGACTAAATTGCATTCTAGGCCAGGACTAGCATTCTTTAGGAATGTATTCTGTTTCATCCTTGCACCAAACTGGTGAGGTACTCATTAGAGTACAAAGTTTAGAGAATAGAAATAAGCTATAGAATTGTAGAGTTACCTGCTTTAACAGAAATGAGAAAGGGCTTTTACTTGTTCCAACTTTTCTATGATGATGGATCAAGACTTTTCTGGAATACATAGTTTTTATTTTGCTGCACTTTCATAAGCAGCTGACAGTGTACCCTGAAATTATGTGTGATTGTCAGTTTTGTCTCATGGTGGAAGAAATGGAGATGCAACACATTTTCTTGCTTTGTTTAATAAATTTTTATTATCTAGAGGAAGAGTGGGTAAAGTTAAATATAAAATTGCATCAGACAAATAAAACACTCAACTGGTATGAAGTGTGATAGTGGTAGTTACCTATCTACATTGGAAGAAGAAGGGAAGGAACTAAAATCTTAAACCATGCCACATTTTAAAAAATAGACTACTTTGCATGTATATTATATATTTGCAACTTTTACAATCATATTCCTAAATGTCTGTCATAAAATTGAAATAAATTATCTTTGCTTCTAGTAAAATTATTGGTTAGCTTTGAAAACTGCTGAGAGAGACATTATTTATTATCTTACAATGTAATTTCTTAGTTAAATTGAAATGAAAAAAATAACCTTTTCATTCACAAAATGCAAGTTATGCTTACAAAGTGTGCTTATGTAGTACACATTAATGTAGAGATTTAAAATTTATCAAATATCACATCATATAGTATCCAACTCATCATTTTTAACCAGTTATGCATTTATAATACTATGGCAATGCATTTTAGAAATCATACCATCAGATCTGTCCAGTTTCATCTCACTGAGGCTTCTATGAGTAAAAGAGTTTTAGCAGTTTAAATATGGATACATTTTAGACTAATGACTCAATGGTTTGAGGGATAATAAATTACAAATCTCTTGTGCTTGGTATCAAGGTCACATTAGGTAGTTGAGGTCTTGTATTTAACACTATTATGCCAGAAACCTCTTATAACAGCTATTTCTAAAGGTGTGCTTGACAATATTGAACAAAATATGACCTTTTTGTAATAGAATCTATTACGGTCTTCAAAAAGAGAAGGAAGATAGAAACAACATTTTTTTTAGTATTAAAATTATTTTTTCATGTTTCTTTATGATATTATTTACATACATAAAAATGAACCCCATGACCGGGTGTGGCCTGTAATCCCAGCACTGGGGAGGCTGAGACAGGAGGATCACTGTGGGTTCGAGACCAGCCTGGGCTACATTGTGAGTTCCAGGTCAGTCTCAACTATATAGTGAGACCCTGTCTCAAAAAAAAAAAAAAAAAAAAAAACAAAAAAAAAAAAAAAAAAAAAAAAAAAAAAAAGAACCCCATGAAAAGCATTGTTTAAGTTTTTTGACAAACACAGGAAGTGTCATAAAAATATACTGCTTAATTTTTAAAAATTGTATTACAGTAGAAGATGCATTGGCATGTGTCTGCCTCAAAGCCTTCAACTTCCTCTGAGCACCCTCCTCCCATCGGCCTCGCCACTTCCTGCAGCAGCTTCGGAGTCCTCTATTGTGAAGGTCTTTAGCTGTGCTGTCTTGGCTGCCTCCACGTCCTGAATGCACTCAAAGTATCTTTCTTTTGGTACCACTTTGAATTTGGGGAAGAGTCAGAAGGTGCATAGTGCCAGATGAAGTGAATAAGATGTGTGAGGACACAGCATCTTGCTTCTACTTGACAGAAATTCTGATAAACTGTTGATCAATATGGCTGATCATAAAATATAGGGAATGCTTAAAATTTTTAAATTGTAGTAAAAAACACATTGCCGTTAATCCTCATCAAAATATTCAAAATATTCTTCTGACTTCAAATAGAGGTATCCGATTCACCTTGCAAAAAATATTTTTTTAGTGTAATAAGTGTTATAATTTAAATAGTCACCATACATTTCTATCTATCTATCTATCTATCTATCTATCTATCTATCTATCTATCTATCTTTAAAAGTTGAAAACATGAAATGTATTTTAGGTTAGTCTACTATACCATAAAAGCAATTTGACTTGGCTAGAAGCAGTTTTCACTTTGTATCCTGCTAATTATTAAATATCATCTAAGTG